AGGCTTGTTTTAGAATCTAATTGTAAATTTGTTCGAGTGTTAAAACAATGGAAGAGAGAAAAAAACTAAGGCTTGAGAAAATTAGCCAAGTTTTGAGCCAAGGATAATTTGCCTCATCGGTCTCAATCTCAAGATTGCAACAAGCAATCTATCAACAAATCGATAATTGAAAGAAGTGTTAAACGAAGTGCTTGAAGAAGAGATTTCATTGGTGAAATTTTTCGAAGAAATATGTGAAACTACCAATGTTACAACTGAATGCCCCAGAAAACAGAAAGAATTTGATGAGAGGTTTGACACAGAAACAGTCTATTCTCTATACTAACATACCTTTCTATACCAGCTCCATCTGTTTCTTCCTCTTCATGGGAACAAAATGATTTATTCATAAATTTCTTTTCATCTTACATCAACTATCTTCAATATTCTATTCTATTCTATTCTATTCTATTCCATTCTATGACATTCTATTCTATTCTGTATCCTCAAAACTGGTTTTCCACTTATCTATTCCACTTGTCTAATATTAATTTACCCGATGGTCAGTGCACGTCATTATCATCATTCTTTGTGGTCATTTGAATATTAGATGACCATCTAATTTGTTCATTCATGGTCACTTTTGTGGTTTCAACGATGGAGCAAGTTGAAACATAAGTAATCAATCGTTGAAGACTTAAACGCATGTGATACGATAATGGCAATTAGTAATGGATGGTGATAGTAATAGAAACATAAATGATAAATAGAATGATGATTAATAAATGATAATTAGACAAAATAAGTAAGCATTACTACTGCATGACCTTCAAGATGTTCTTAATCCCTAACGAGTCAAAATGACCTATGAACTACTTTTGAAATCAATTGCAATTTAAATGAACAAAACTTAATACAATTATCTTTGTTTGAAATAACTTTTCTTTTTATCAAAAATATGACAAAATTTTATCACAAGTGAAAATAACAAATTTGAGGAATTGAGAAATTATTCCATAATGTGATCAGATGTCACCTCGTCCCCCTCCTTAATCATCAAGAAATATCAATGATGCATGGATGGTTTTGGATGAATACCATCGAATGCATTGCAGAAGAAACATGTTCAATAAAGCAGATTCTGAACCAAACCGGTTTCATATTATTATTATTATTATCATCATCATCATTATTGTGCCGTCTGATCACATTTTCGTTTTTTTTTTAAGGAAACCTGATTGATCAGAATCAACTATATTCCACTGAATAATAATAGATCATACTGGGATATGAGAATGTAGGGTGGATAAAAGAAAAGAGTTCGGGATTAAAAATTCTCGTCGATAAATTAATGAATAAAATAATATTAATTAGTTATCATCGTTTCATTTGTTTACTATTAGTTGTTTAATGCATAATAACAAATAATAATAAACCTGAATGCATTTCTCCTTTTATCTTCCCCCGCTCTTTCCCTTTTTTTCACTTTTCCTCCTCTTCCCGTTGTATTTTCCTCCCCCACTTTTGATTGACTATCACAATGTACCGAATTCTTAATTTTAAAAGTGGATTGTTTGGTTATTTTCATTTTTTGAAATATTCTCTTCAAAATGATTGAAAAGACAACTCAATTCATTTCTTTCCTTGAGCCAAGCCATTAATTGTTAAGATAAAGAATGGATATTTCAAATTTAGTCCATCTATTGGCCAAACTAAAGCCAATAAATGCTTGTCTTTGGCTCTGTCCTACCGTTGCCATTTTCTGTTCTATTTAATACTATAGAATTTATATATAATTATGCAAATCAAAAGAATAAAATACCAAGAATTGCTCGGATCATTCTGATCATTCGGACAATCGATGACTATTTGAGCAATTAATTACTCGACTTCAGTGATATACTAAGAATAGTATACTCGAGATTAGACGGTTGATACTGACGATTTGCTTTTAATTCTATTCCATTTCTGAACCAAGATATTATCGACGAGTATACTTTCAATTTCGTTTTTTTTTTTTCTGCAGAGAATAATAAAAGAATGACAGAAGTGATTGGGAATTTTAAACAGGACAATTTAGGGATGATGTCGTTGAATGGATGTGTAGAAAAAGTGAAGAAAAGAAAAAAAAAAGGAAACGGGAAGAGATGGGATTGTAATCTAAGGTAATTGCATCAAAAGAATAATTGAATAGAAGAAATGATGTGAAAAATGAAAAGGAAAAGATAAAAGCATTTTAAAAAAAATGGGGAAAAGAGAATGTCGAAAAATGAATGAACTTTGAATGAATGGTTTGAATTCAATGAAGAAATTTAAAAAAAAAAGAAGTGGACAGGTGAGGAGTTAATAAATGGCAAAGAGGCAAAGAAAAGAAGAGAGAAATGAGAAGATATGACCTTGAATAAATTTACAACAAAGTTTAATCGGACCAGTGCTACGTAATAATAATAACAATAATAACAACAATAATAACAACAACAACGACAATAATAACAACACTAGAAATAACAACAGCAATAGCTCTATAAGAATTAAGAAATTACTGTAGGAATTAAAATTGAATAGGAAATGATTATTGGTATTAATACATGTTTTTGTTTCACCAATACATCCATCGAATAACGGAAAATTATTGATAGTGAAAAAAATTAATTTAAAAATTTCCATGAAATAACTTGTATTATTTGTATTTTAGTTCATGATTGTTAAGCTAACTTTTTGCTCAATGAATTGCTCCATATGAAAGTTTATTTATCGGATTATTTTATTTTATGAGAGATACTTTCAACTTCAATACAATCATTGAATTCAATTTGATTCCTTCTAATCCAATTAGTTTGATGAAAACTGTTTTAATAGCATTTTTTTTCCTTGTTTGTTTGTTTTTGAAAATAACGAATTTTTCAAAAACTGAAAGATTTTAAAATTACTTGTGATAAGTGGTGCTTATCACCGTCTTCATTTGTAACAGGCTTACTGTAACTTACACGTATAACAACGGCAAGTCCACTCTTGACGTGTGTTTGAATATCTGGGATATCTCAATGAATTTTGTTTTGAAAGTTTGATCAGTCATTATGATGTCATCTATAGGTCATGGTCGTATGAATATCGTTAGGAGTACTCGAAGTGTTGGACGAAAATTTTGCTGTTATGGAGATCGTTTTGTCATATAAGGAGTGTGATATATGACATGGCGGAGTGAGGAAATGTGGACAGCAGATGGTGCAAGGGTTAGTTTGGGTAAAATTTGCATGGGGAAAGAAAGACTTATTTCAACTTATGGAAATATGCTCTTATTCTTGTAGTATTTCAATAATCTACTGAAATTCAATCAGTGTTATCAGTAAACAAACAATATTTGACAGTTTTGTTCGAAATTGAACCATTTATCCAGAAAATTTCATTGTAACATTGATATTTATGAACAGTGTCGTAGAACTGAATGAATGGATAATTAATTTAATGAACAGATATGAATCCATGAATCATTTGACAATGTGATCTTTATGAAAATGATACGAGAAGTAAACAACAGACTAATATCAAAGTACTATCCATCGTTTAAACAGAACAGTCAACTAACTAATACTATATCGTACCGGTAATAACCGGAAACCGATAACGGAACCCCGTTGTTTGTTAGCTTATGCATTAAAAATGACAAGAGGAGGAGAAGGAGGAGAAGCTTCAGCAAAGGAAAGGGAAGCCAGCTGAAATAAAGGCAACAAAGCTAACTGTTTCCTCTTCGTTACTCAAATTGTTCTACCGGAAGTAACAATATGTATTGGATCATCATTGTTGACAACAGCGAATTCAGTTGAAGCAATGGATCGCACGGGTAGCTAACAGGATTTCATTCCTGAATTGCTTCAGTCTACTATAAAGTTTTATGTGTTGAATGATGACGTACTTGGCTATTCACTGGTTGGGAAAATGATGGACTTTTCCGGTTACGCAATTGATTCATCCCATGTAAAAGGTAAAAAGTTAATGTAGGATAGTTATGGTAATTGCGATAGTATTTCCGGAAAAGGACCTGATATTATGCTGGAAGTTTATTCAGATCATTGATAAATTCCCACAAAGATTGTGCACTTTTTTGGAAATACTTCGTTTAGTATTATTTGTTACAACAGCCTAACGTAGATAATTATTTACGGATTACCTAACATTTGCTTATAACATATCATCACATTCTTATCACGTTAACCGTATTCTTTATAATATGATCATATCTTTATTAATATAACCTGATCATATTTGTGGGTTTCATTGGGGTATATATGTGAATTTTTTTTAAGAGCTCTCACTTATATTCACATTTATTTATTTATTTTTTGTTTGTTTGTTTGTTTTTTCTATCATTTGACCCCCTGGAAAAGTAAAAGACCGGGATGTTGCGATGCAGGGGAAGTGATGTAGAAGTATCGAGCGGGAAATATTAATCCTCTAACTTAAAAAAATAATTTGGCATTTGTTTTACTGAAACATCTATTATCTTCTTTTCCGTGATTGTTTAGCAATTTATTCAAATCCGGAAGGTCCATATAATTTCGTGAAACATTCGAATACTCTTTTTTACTAACTGGTACTCTTGTAGATAAAGGTATCTTTATCCAAACTGTTGAGGATTTCAGTAAGGTAAATTTGCTTTGACCATAAAAGTGATCAGGATATGCACGAGAGATTTGACAAATTTTATCAAATTTTTCTGTCTCAGACGTGTTAATTTTAGGAAGATGAACAGGATTTTGTTTACAAATTTCATTTAATCATGAAGGAAGTATGCTAAAAATGCTTTACTTAATTAAATGGTCCCTGGAAGGATTTTCTGTTTGTTTTTGGAGGTGCAAAATATGGCATTCATATGACATTGTTTGGCATTTAAAAACGGATCCATTCATTTTTAAAAAAAAAATCATTTCTTTTTTAAAACTTCTTTGTGAGGGAACTGACAAGGAATACAGAACTGATAGTAAATAAGAAATGAAATCAATAAAAGTCTTTTTTTATCAGGTATGGAAGATAGTGTGATATGGTCCAATGTCTATGATAACACAGTTATCAACTATCAGGATTTGTTGGGTATACTGGAGAATCAGAATAAATTAGTGTCAGCTTGTGGAAATCAGGTTTAAATCATTCATCATTAAATATTAATGGTATAAATGAATCGATTAGTGATGATATTATAATATATATTGAATTTTTAACTTATAAGTAGTGCTGAGATTACGTCTTCTAGATATCAGATGAAGCATTTGTTCGACGTTTCCTGATATTGGGAACTACCGGAAGTACATGTTACGCTTCCGAAAAAGAATTAACGATGCACGCAGCTAATAAATTGTGCGAAATTATTGAAAAGGGTAATAATAACATTGTTGTCGTTTATGCAACATTTATTCACATGATTTGGTTTGAATTGAAAAACTTTTTTTCATCAAGAACATTATTCATGCAAACTTTTCATTCCTGAAATTCCGCGGTAAAACGGGTTTGTCTTCTGGGATATTTGTGAGTTTGATATTAAGCCTGTGATACAATATCACAGTTCGGCTAACTTTCTTCATAGATTCAGAAAGAATTATAATTGCAAATGTCCGTTCGCAAATGTATACCCAAATGCTAACAATTCAAAAATATTAATTTTTCCTTTTATCATAGGAAGTGGACTAATTTTACTACGAGAACTGATTAAAGTTTCATTGGCCGATCGAGCTCCAAAGAAGAATCCAACATTTTTCGCTCTGGCACTTTGCGCACGTTATAAGGTATTATCTTTTAACGTGATGAAGGAACTATTTTATACCTATGTTTATCAAATGATAATTCAGTTATCAAATGGTTTATATTGAGGTGCGCGATTTGACAAGCAAAAGTATGGTATCACCAAGAGTTAACAAAAATGAGAAAAGTAACAAAAATGATTCTACTGAGGTAAATGCAAAATACAGACAATTTGCCCAACCCATGGACGTCGCATACCAGAAAGCACTCCAACAACTTGCTTTACGTGCTGTCCCTAAGGTTCATTTTTGTAATTAACTAATTAAAAGATTTATACGCAATTTGCAAATGTTGAAATTGGAAATGTATTTTAGGTTTGTCGAATTTCAACACATCTTTTCATGTTTCTTAAGTATTGTAAACTGATATCCGGCGAGACAGGAATGAAAGTGAATAGTAAAGGTTGGGGGCGAGCTTTACGAGCTACCATCTCAAACTGGTAAATTTTAAAGCTCATTTCGTTGATTTGTAACAATTAAACATTGCAGTTCTTTTTTTCTGTTTAAATTTGGAAGAATAGATCAATTTCGTTAAGTGTGCTGTGACAAGCAAATGAATTCGGGAAAAGGCAAATAACTGTGGTCTCAGGTTTAAATGTTTG